GGTCCAGCTGTGCCTTGGTTGCCAACCAAACAACAGGTTCAGGGGGCTCCCGGCGAATGTTTTTTATTTTTCCCATGGCGATGCGTGGAGAGCCTGCGTGTTTGTTGCGGAACTGGTGCGGGGACCAAAGGTGGTTTGGAGGGCCGGTTTTCAGGTAAGGGGGGCTTTCCTGTCATCTCCCTTGGCATGAGTCCATTCGCCCTTGTGTTTAAAAGCCCGATTCTGTTGTGGGTTGTGCATCCAGCACGAGGGCTGGACCCGCATCTAACCCAGAGGAACCCCCCCCCGGATGAAGGAAGCAAGGTGGACCTCGGAAATGATGGTATAAAGATGTCGAGAATACCAGCACGACTGCGCTTATTTGTTTTTTTTTTTTTTTTTTTTTTTTTTTTTTTTTTTTTTTATTTTTTTTTTTTTTGGCGGGCTTTCCTGGCTTTGCAGGGGGGAATTCCTATTTAGAAAATCTTCCCAGGAGGTGTTGGGTCCCAGGATTTTAAGGCCTTTTGAGATCCAGGACCGTTTCTTCAGGACCATATCCCTCCCAGTCCAGAAGGTTATTGGGAAACCCCTGAACCACCGGCCCCTACTGATGGGCGAAATTAGATGGGTCCAAGCAGCCCGCCCCACCCTCTTTCACATAATGGTATAATGATTCCCTAGTGTGTCCCNCTACAGTATTGTTGTTTTATAGTTATTAACCCAATTTGTGTTCTTTGAAATGGAAAAGGATATCGCATTGTGTTTGTTACTTTCGTTGCAGTTGTAGGCGGCCTACAACTGCAACGAAAGTAACAAACACAATGCGATATCCTTTTCCATTTCAAAGAACACAAATTGGGTTAATAACTATAAAACAACAATACTGTAGTGTAGAATAACAAAATGAATGCCGTGAATACACCAAAATACAGGTGTTGAAGCAGTTCGCTGCTGATTACTACGCCTAGATTTTTACTTCAGAAATCATAAAGTGGTGTCAATATGTGGAGATTATCCTGCTGAACTAAACGTGTCAGTATCATAAACGTTTGTTTGACACAGAGATTATTTTCTGTACTAATCCAAAATCCAAAGGAAAAATTCCATTGGATTTCAGTTGAGGGAAACCTTGCAATGCTAACTTCCAATGCGTCATCACTGCACCATTCTATTGACATCTGTAAATATTGTTTGTTACCTGTATTTGACGGTGAATGCAGTCCACTGGTCCTGACTGAAATGGGTCAACAACCTTTGGATTTATTGCCATGACATATTGTGAAGACATTCAGAAACTCTTTAGGATGGATCCTACCAACTCTGGTGATCCCTTGACATTTTATTTAGTGCCACTAGCACTAGAAACATCTCAACTTCTGCAAGATGGATTGATACCATAAACTGTATATATAAAGATTGCTACCCACTTGTTGTTTTCTGGATGGTGACCTCCTGACCTTTCCCTTAGAGCCAGCAGCAGGAGCAGGTGGACATTTGTGCTTTTCAGTGAAGTTTCTCAAGAAGCGTTGCATTACATTTCAATGTAATGAATGCTAGAGTAAATAGAAATGGACAGAAAGCAGGTAGAGTGTCATCTCTTGTAGATGGAATACAAGTGTTTTATAGCATTAAGAGATTTACAGTCGGTGGTCAGAATGGAAACAAATATTTATAATACGTTTCTTACATCCAGATTTACTTTTTTTTGCTTTCAATTTCTTTCAGAGTTTTGACTTCTTAGAATTTTCTGAATTTTGACTTTTTCTCAGAACTATGACTTTTTACCAAATTTTGAATTTTTCCCAATTTTGACTTTTTTCCCGAATTTTAACTTTTTTCAACATTTTCCCTTTTATAAGAATTTTGAAGAAGTTCAATTTTTTTCTTCAGAATTATGATTTTCTTTTCAGATTTCTTTATTTTATCAGAATTTCTATTTTTTTAGAATTCCAACTTTTTTATCAGAATGTTTTTTTAAAATACCTTTTTATTTTTTCGATTTTTTTCCAGAATTTTTCGGATATTCGCCTTTCTTCAGAATTTTCACTTTTTCTCAACATCTTTACTATTTCTCAGATTTGTCACTTTTTTTCTTATCATTCTGATCTTAACCTAAGAAGGTTTGTTAATACTTGCTGTGTTAGGCATTACTGTGTTTTTCCCCTCAAAGTTGCAGGTAATTCTGCTTTCTATACGATTACAAAACATTACCTGAGCATCTCGTGTGACAGCAGTAAAGTTGTGCTTTTTGTCACATAAATCCATTCAGGATGGAGGTAAATGATGTTTGCAGTATTCATACAACATAATCTAATTTCAAAGTTAATTCTCTTTCCGTGAAATGTTATGAGACTGTTATTTATGAGCAGATGCAGCCCGGCCCGAACCGACTGAACAAACAGCAGCTGTGGCACCAAACAAACCCAAAGAGGAGGTGAGGAACACTTTGATACGCCAATATGAAATGTGTTGTTGTCAATGTGCCCGTGAGATAGCATCAATTTACAGATGGGAGCCGCTGGACACGTTAAATTGATTAATCTGTGTGGGTAAAACTAAAGGGTAATGTCTGTTCATAAGGACTTTGGTCCTTTTATTTGTAAATCGTCTGACATGTCTGCCCTGTTTGATGACACTGATATGATTAATACGATTTGGAAACATTACTGCGACAGAGATTTTTTACACATTAAAGTGGGTATTTTGAACTCGGTAAAACAGTACCTGCAACATAACCCAATAATAAGGGTTTGTTTAATAGTGCAGACATTAAAAGACATGGTTGCCACAAAATGTCAGAGAGGTTATGTTCAAGTTAGTGCCATCAACGCCGGTGACGAGATAATCAGGAATCTGAAGGCGTCAGAATGTGTGTCTCCAGTTGTGACAAGTTTCTGCAGTTTTTTGATTACATTTCCCAAAGTGACAGATCGAGTGTTGTTGCCTTCTGAGGAGATGATGAGCAGCGGGTTATCTGCTCTCAGCAGGGGGCGGAGTCTCTCTGCAGAGATCCTGATTGGTTGACGTGAGTCTGCACTCAGAGGGAGATGCCTTCACTGCCTGAGAGACACTTTGAGTGCTCAAAATGCAAACTTTATACTAAAGAAGAGACGCCTCTCCACTCCAGCTTTCACAATAACATGAGTGTGTTTTACTCATACAAAGGATATTAAAGAGGCCTTATTCTGCTTGTTGGTTTTTCTCTTTCCTGTAGTGTGTTATATAGATTTTAGTGCATGTAAATGGTCTGCAAAGTCTAAAATCCCTGTGTTCCCTCGATGTGAATTATCTCTTTATCTATAAGAATAAACATATGTATTTTCCAAAGATACTTTTTGGAAGTCTTGATAAATTATTGTAACACTCACCTCTGAATTGGAACGGAAAATGAAAGCATTTTTCTTTCTTTTTCTATCAGGGCGTAGAAAAAGTGGCATTTATATAAACATTGTAATGAAAATGGATCAGAAAGAAAACTGCAAAGGCTTTTTAACAGCTAAGAATTAAAAAGAGGAGGGATGGGAAACAAACAACAACAAAAACAAGAGCTAACATGCTATAAAAAAAGGGCCAAATAATTTTCTGAAAGCTTCTGGTGGTAGATTATCGGATATAAAATGGACAGCATACCCACTGGATAAAGCATATTTCATTCTGGCTACTAACAAATCTATGATCTGAGGCGATATGTCATTATCAAATACATCTTCTATAGAATAAAGCAGAACTTTCCACTGCTGTGATATCCCCATATGACACCTGTAGCTTAGGAGGCTATTATAGGTGGTTCTAATACTGAATTATGTAGGAGTTTAATTTGCTCTCCTCCAGTGGTATGACTATAATAATCATGTATTAATCAGTGTGTTGAGCTGTGTTTGAGTATCAGATCCTCCAGCTCTGAGTTTAGAGCGATGGCGACACCCTGTGGTTGTTATCAGAGTGGAAGCAATTTGTTTTTATCTGACATTAATCCAACTGTTAAACTCTGTAGATGCAAATAACATTAGCCAACTTCTATAATACTTTTCTATATCTTAATGTTTAATAGTTTGGGTGTTTTTTATTTTATTTTCTTTGGCTGTTTTTTAAATTCCTCGTGTAAACGAACCTACTTGGCAATAAAAGCCTATAGTGTAGCATTTATGTGCCAAACTTCATTCAGAAATCTGCCAAAAATCATTTTTCCAAGCTGATTTGCTAAAAAAAACATTACTTAAATAACTTAATATTACGCTTCTGCAATCACGAAAACATGTTCTGGAAAATTCGGCATTGCAATGATTAAATAATAACGTTATAAAAAGGACATTACATCACCTTTCTAACGGGCAAACGTATTGTTAAAACAGTGCAACCAAACTTCATTCAGAAATCATGCAAAAGTAGATTAGTCTTGCTCATTTGTTAAAAATCCCCAATCTAAATACATTAAAAATGATGCGTTTTCAATTACTAAGCCTGTTCTGGAATATTCCGAATTGCAATGACTCAATAATAACGTTAAGAAAGGAAATTACATCACCTTTCAACAAGCAAACAAGTTACATAAACAAAGAATGAGACAGGAAATACCAGAATAATGTTGTCAAAATAAAAAATAACTTAAAAAATGAATCGGCCGAATTAAAGAGGTGCACATAACACTTACATCGACATCATTCGTTTGTTAAATGAAGGTTATTTAGATTCAGATTAACCTGAGAGAACCGACAAATCATACGTTTGTAAAGGAAGTTTGGTTCAAAATCGAACATTAAGTGCATTTGTGTTTTATTTTAGAAGGTCCCACAATATAATTAATGCTATGAATGTATTTAAAGTTAATAAAAACACATATTAAGGAACATTATCCTGCGTTTCTATAACAATCTGTGGGCGTTTCGGCCTCTGCTCCAGCTGTTTCTGTAGCACCATGATCAGATCCACCAGTGGGCCAATCAGAAACCATAACAAGCCTGCCGTGATGAGGAACTGCGCGCTGATTGGACGCCACTTCTATGACGTAAAGGTGTGATTGGTCGCTTGCTCGCTTTTACCTTAGTGCATATCCTCTTCACTGTTGTACCGGAATACGAGCAACAAACACAAGGTACAGTGCAAATTTAACTTTATATACATTAAAATAAAGACAGAGCACTTTGTTAATAACCTTTTAATACCACGTGATGCTGCACTTGGTGTTCGTTAATGCTTATAAAATACATATATTTACCTTTACGTAACGGCGAGTCAGGAATAACGTTACATAAAATGAAATATCTCAATCACAGATGTAATGTAGCTGCTCCTGCAGATTATCAATGTGCATTTGTGTGATTTTTACATTGTTCTTGGCTTTAAAATGTGTTGTATTTATTGTATTAATTGCTTGCATTGTGTGATACAATTGTGAAGTGTTGGAAAATGGTCACTTTCCAGGGATCAGAGAGCCAAATCCAGAAGTCAAGGTCCATCTGCACAATAAATCAGAACCAGCATACACAATAAATACAGTACAGTACACATCATTGTATAGTAGTTGTATCAATGCTTGTGTTAGAGAAACATTCACAGTTTTAAAGGAAGGTGTCAAAGTGTTTGGATCAAGACAAAATGCTATATTTAACTTCACAAGAAGTGTGTGCATATTTCGAAAATTTGAAATTGTTCATACATGTACAAGTATAATTGCACTGAAGAAGACAGACTGGAAGTTTTGCAAAGCAGTTGACCTTTTAATTTGGCTATGACTTTTAGATCTCAAATCTATGTAGAAATTTCTCTCTTTTAATACATGTCAAGACATTCTTTAAAATACATTTTAGAAAGTCTTATTTGTGTTAACAGCAGATGGAATCTTTTCAGTTTAATACATATAAAGACATATTTTATAAGCTATAAGCTGTAATAAAACCTAATCTTTTACTGACATGTAGATAATGGTTTGTTTTATAACAAAGATTATTCTGATTATTAAAATTAGCTCATGTCTTTCAACTGGTGACAAAATACAGTTGATCTGCTATCTTTAAAACCTAAAAACATCTGAAAATTGGTGTAAAAATATTGAATGGACTGAACCCAGTATCATTTCTCATCAACAAATTCAATTCAAACTAACAGCAGTGCTTTCTGGGAAATGTAGTGTTCTCAACATGTTTTAAAGTGTGTGCTCTCTTTCTCTCGTTACAGATCTCACCATGGATCTTGTGCTGAATGTTGCGGATCATTACGTCCTCACCCCCTATGTGTTCCCGGCCTCCTGGCCTGAGGAGGGCGCTCTGAGGCAGATCCTCAGCCTGCTGGTGCTCACCAACCTGGGAGCCGCCGTCCTCTACCTGGGCCTCGGGGCCATCAGCTACTTCTTCATCTTCGACCACAATCTCATGAAACACCCACAATTCCTCGAGGTAAAGAGCCCGTACAATAAAACGCCTCCATTGCACTCCTTTGTTTACTTCCAGAACATAGTGACATCACTGGGGAACACCTGCGCTGCTATTGGCTAGCGCTCCAACACCTTGTAAGTGATAGGCTAAGGGGCGGGACATCTCTAAGCGGTTCACCAATCACTACAGAGCCGGTCAGCTAAGCTAGATCAGCGTATTTGATTAATTTAATTTACCTACATTATTCTGGACTATTTTTTGGGTTGAATTTACTTATTTTACATAGCTTTGGATAAAAGAGTCAGCTAAATCTAAGAAGGCCGAAATGCATTAAATGGTTTTGCTAAGATAAAATGGACACCTAGAGAAGGAAGTTGAAACTCGGCCCACTGGCACTCATCGGCACACCTGGCAAAAGCTGAAAAGCAGGCCATAAAAGCACTTTGTTTGAAGAATACTAAGACCTTAAGTGAGATCAGTTCATATTGAAATATAACGAGTTGTTGTGACGCAGTAAAGTGTCTTGTCTTCAGCTAAAAAGGTCAAGGTACACATTGATTTGGAAGAGAAAAGTTAAGGCTTGCATTATTCTGGATTTGTCTTCATTGTCAAGTGCCAATAAATCCATAATAACAGAGATAGAGGTGTGACTTCTGCCTCTGGTATTTATTGAGTTAATAAATTATTATTTTATTTTCAATCCCCCTCAGAATCAGGTTCGGAGAGAGATCAAATACGCGATGACCTCACTTCCTGTGATCAGCCTTCCCACTGTGGCTCTGTTTTTCTATGAAGTCCGAGGGTACAGCAAACTGTACGACAACGTCCACGACTCTCCGCTGGGTGAGTGCAAAGATTTGACCATCTTCCAGTACATTTAAACACCCTGAGTGTAACCTGTTTTCAGTGGTGTGTGTGACATGGTGTGCGATATGGTGTGTGTGTGATATGGTGTGTGTGATATGGTGTGTGTGTGACATGGGCCGTTTCTCAATCGCGAGGATGCTTGCTTGGTAGCACATGTCTTCCGAGTCACTTGCTTCAGAAGCTAGGCAAGAATCCTTCCTGGCATTCGGAAAACGAAGAGTGGAACAGGCGAGCAAGTGTGCAGGTGTGCGTCATATGAGAGGCCCCGCCTTACATTTTCCACTACAGATTTGGGGAAATTGGTCCGTGCGCAAAGCATTGTGGGGATTTTAAGGACGCGAAGTCTACACATGTGCAGCCTCAAAATTACCCCCAAACCAAGGACGCGGCCTCGGTGGAATTCCAAGTATGCTGGACATTGGAACAGTCCTTCGGCGGCACTCGATGACGTAGCATCCTTGAAATATTGGCTTGGAAGCCAGTATCCTCGAGATTGAGAAACGGTCATTGTGTGTGTGTGTGTGTGTGTGTGTGTGTGTGANCCCCCTGGAGGAGAGGACCAGGAAGAAGAGGCAGAACTTCCTCTTCAAACAGAAAGTGTGGCTGCTCGACCCCTTGGAGCTGGCGGACATCGAGGACGCCGCAGAGTGGAGCCGCCGGGGGGGGGCGTCCCTACCTGGGTTAGGGTTAGTGGAGGCTCAGTCGGGAGGGGAGGGCTGCTGCTGTAGGAGGCGGAGCTCTAACACCCCCCCCCCCTCCTGCAGCAGCTCCCTGAGGCCTTCTGCGGTCACTCCACCTGCTGCTCCGACCCCTCCTTCAGGACTCTCTCTGGGGCTGCAGAGCTCCGGACTAAATGCTCTTCCCCCTCCTCCTCCTCCTCCTCCTCCTCCTCCTACTCCTCCCTGGGGGGTCCGCTGGGCCCTGGGGGGGGGCAGAGGACGGAGACCAGGCGCTCCCTGAAGTTCCTCAGCCTCTCCGGGTGCTTCCAGGTCACAGATCTGGGTTTGAGGTGAATATCAGGCGTCGCTGCTTCTCACAATCCTCACATGGTAGTCAGGTTCTCACCAGGTGCGCTCACACGTACAGGAATCTGCTCTGGTCTCTGGCGCGAGCTCAAACAATCAAAACAAATGAGATGCAAAGGAGGTCAAAATGAATATATAAGTGTAATAAAAAAAAGAAACAATTTAGCTTCTAGGATTCTAAAGACAAGTACTTCCACCAAACTACAGGGTGATATATTTCAAAGTGGAGGGCTGAGCGCAGAGAGAGAGAGAGAGCATGGCTCAGTGCTACAAACACAACAAGTATTTAAAAGGAACTATTTCAAGACTTTTGTAAAAAATGTACATAACATATATTTTTGCGAGACTGAGGTCAGTTAAATATACGTTTCTCACATTATTATATTTTGTGTAAATATAGTTTCTAATTTTATTTGTCCACTTTCAAACACACTGTTTCTCTGTGTGATTATAATAATGCATGTTATTTGGAGGCGCCTTTAATCTCAGCCAAAGGACAGTTTACCACGGATTAAAGAAACAGCTTCACATCAAATACAGACAGACAGAGAAAGGCTTTGAAACAGACAGGAAGCAGCTTCGATCTGAGCAGCTGAGTTTGGAGGAGGGACTTGAATTTAGTGATTGTGTAAATAGAATAAATGACCACGTTAAAAAGATGGTTATCAGCCCAACATGGAACAATCAGTGCGTCTCATTGAGGAAAGGATTTGAGATGTTGTCACTGGCCGTTTCTGAATCTCGAGGAAACTGGCTTCCAAGCCAATATTTCAAGGATGCTACGTCATCGAGTGCCGCCGCAGGACTGTTCCAATCTCCAGCATACTTGGAATTCCACGAGGCCGCGTCCTTGGTTTGGGGGTAATTTCGAGGCTGCACATGGGTAGACTTCGCCTCCTTCAAACCCCCACAATGCTTTGCGCACGGACCAATTTCCCCAAATCTGTGGCGGAAAATGTAAGGCGGGGCCTCTCATATGACGCATTGCTAGCCTGTTCCACTCTTCGTTTTCCGAATGCCAGGAAAGATTCTTGCCTAGCTTCTGAAGCAAGTGACTCGGAAGACATGTGCTACCAAGCCAGCATCCTCGCGATTGAGAAACGGCCAGTGTGTCTAGAAGCCGATGCAGTGACATGATGTCGTGTGAGGAGCGTTCGTTTGCACTTTTCAACACAAGGAGATTCAGAGTGCTTTAAAACAATGAAAGACATTAAGAGCATTAAACACATTAGAAACATTAAGAAGCAAAGGTATTTAATAGGGGTGCACCGAATGGGAAATTCTTGGCCGAAACCGATACCGAAAATAGGAAACAGTTGGCCGAATGCCGAAAGGCCGAAAATGATTACCGTAATTTTCGGACTATAAGGCGCACCTGAATATAAGCCGCAGCAGCGGCATACCACTCTCGGTTCCACTTTTACTTTTGCGCGCTACCTGTCTCACTCTTTTCCGGCCTCCAGCTTTTCCTGCTGGACCCCGCCCCTTAAAGGTGGGGGTCCGCGGACCGGCCATAGAGCCCATAGAGTTAAAGGTGTTGGCCGTTAGCTGTAAAAATCCATAGATTAGCCGCACCGTTATATAAGCCGCAGCGTCGAAAAATGGGGAAAAAGGCGCGGCTTATAGTCCGAAAATTACGGTAATTTGATAATCGATTAATCAAACGANACAGCTGGGAGACCAGGGGACACTAAAGAGTGACGCACACAGCTTGGTGACGTTCAGGATTGGTACATTTCCAAAAACAGAGACAGTTGTCCAGTTTTATAATCCTGAACGTCACCAAGCTGTGTGCGTCACTCTTTAGTGTCCCCTGGTCTCCCAGCTGTGTGCGTCACTCTGTAGTGTCCCCTGATCTCCCAGCTGTGTGCGTCACTTTTTAGTGTCCCCTGGTCTCCCAGCTGTGTGCGTCACTCTTTAGTGTCCCCTGGTCTCCCAGCTGTGTGCGTCACTTTTTAGTGTCCCCTGGTCTCCCAGCTGTGTGTGTTGGTCTCCCAGCTGTGTGCGTCACTCTTTAGTGTCCCCTGGTCTCCCAGCTGTGTGCGTCACTCTTTAGTGTCCCCTGGTCTCCCAGCTGTGTGCGTCACTCTTTAGTGTTCCGTCTCCCAGCTGTGTGCGTCACTCTTTAGTGTTCCGTCTCCCAGCTGTGTGCGTCACTCTTTAGTGTCCCCTGGTCTCCCAGCTGTGTGCGTCACTCTTTAGTGTTCCGTCTCCCAGCTGTGTGCGTCACTCTTTAGTGTCCCCTGGTCTCCCAGCTGTGTTCGTCACTCTTTAGTGTTCCCTAGTCTCCCAGCTGTGTGCGTCACTCTTTAGTGTCCCCTGGTCTCCCAGCTGTGTGCGTCACTTTTTAATGTCCCCTGGTCTCCCAGCTGTGTGCGTCACTCTTTAGTGTCCCCTGGTCTCCCAGCTGTGTTTGTGTTTTGAGCTTCGTGCAGCATTTTGTATTTGCAGCGTTTGGTTTCTGCAGATTTTAGTAAACGCTGCGCATGGTTCCTCAAGTTGCTGAAGATGTTTCTTCAGGTGTTTTGGCACAATTGTGTTGTTACATTTGAAACGTTTCTGAAGTTGCATTGCAATGTTTTGGGCCGATCATCTTCTTGTTTGTTTTTATGCTATTTATTTTACTTTGTTTCGGCACTTTTTCATATTGTTCATCTCCTGCTGTATCTTAAAACACTAGTGCAAGTGCAACCAAATATTTCCCAGCATTAGGAATCAATAACTTTCCATTTTATTATATTTGTTGGACTGCTCTGCTTTCATCTGGACCATGCAGTGTGCTCAAGTGTTTTTTCTCTAACATTGTTCAGGGATTCAATCAGGCCCTAACTGGTTCATTTATCCTCCCGGCGTTTGGCAGCTTTCCATAAAGAAAGACATCTCAAGTGACTGGAGTCTGGAGGAAATAGATGAGAAACACTCAGGTCGCATCTCCCTAATTATTGCTGCCTCCCTCCAATGCTTTGAAATCAACTGTACTTTCCATCTTTTTCCTGTCCCTGCTTTCATTTCTACCCGTCTGTCTGTGTTTTACCTGCCACTGCCTTCAAAGTCACTGGAGCTTCATCTTGGATCAAAAGACGAGGAGTTACACGGAGAGGTTGACAGTTTGGAAATGTGAAGCTCTGCGAGGGCAGCGTCAGATGGTCCGTGAGTTTCGTAACCCGCTGATATTCACAGATTCATTCATCTCTGGTGGAAATATGCAGCAATTAAAAAAGGAAGGGATGTGAAACATATTAAATCAGTTAAAAAAAAAACTTGTAGGAAATGTTTGGCGTGTCAGTAAAGGCGAGAATAATGAAGAGGGTAATTATTTTACAAAATCAAGAATCAACCTCATCAAAAATATGGCAAAAATAATATATTTACAAAGACAAGAAGCAACCATCACAGCAAACCAAGGGATACTGCTGTTTCTCTAATGGCCACTCTATATCATGAAAGAAAGTGGCACCGGAATGGGTCCTAAAACACAGAAATGTTGGCAATTTGGGCATTTCCTGTCCCCTGGTCTGGAACTCAATGGGTTTAGAACTTGTTTTTGGTTGCGAGCCTGAAATAAGGTCTGTGGTTAACACAAGCTGAAGAGATAC